TTATGTATATCAAATAATCTTCTAGCATTTGCATAACCAGCAATCTATAAGTGCACCAATTGCACTAATACATGACATTTTAAAATCATTTTTCATGAGATCAAAAAGATCTTTCTATGTGTTAAGCAGTCTCAAAACCATTGGGTACTCAATGAAATTGCTTTAAGACCTTTTAAATCCCTTTCAAGGATTTTCATATAACCTTCATCGTCTAGTTAGATCTAATAATCATTCATTATACATATTCAAATATTTCATCTATTTCCATACTGAAACAAGTCTCATTGCATCCACCACTGGAGAATATATCTCCATCTAATTATGTCAGGATTTTTGCGAAAATCCTTTATTCCCCGAGGCACAAACCGCACTTTATATCTTACAGTTATACTTTCGCACAATGATTCATTTGTACCACACTGACATTATATTTTGATCCATGAACTATATGATCAAAAACATCACTTTTCTAAGTGAAACAAAATATACTTGAATAGTGCCAATAATTATTTGTCCACACTATATGACAGATTTGAATTTAAGATCCTCGTAACCATTTATAGCATTGAGTGCTACTTCATATCAAAGCTACCGTCGACGGTCATTTTAATATCGATTCCAATACGACATAACTTATCGAGATCTCTTTATTTTTTATCATTTTCAGGTACCTGAACCTTTGCCAAGGTTTTATGAAGTGTTATGTCATAGTGCTCTTTCAAAGCACTTACCTCATTATCATGACCATTTTGATAATTTTCTCCTCTCATTCCTCAAGGAGTTTTACATTTGGAATCGATTGATCTAGCACGCTTCTGGCGTACCATAGACTCCGTCCTTTAAGGACTATTTATTGGAGCATTTGTAGCTTAATTAAAATATTGGGTCAACAAATACATCTGACAAATTATTTGCAACATTTTGCAAATGAATTATATCTTGAACTTCAAGTTCACATTTTTTTAACGAGGATCTAGATAATTCATCCCACACATATTTTTGTAAGTTGATACAAATGCACATGTGACCATACCATAGATTGCATCTATTAAATCATAATAGGAAGCGGTCCACATGACAGGTGAATGGGCCCATATTCACCTTTTTGTATGTTCCATATAATTTCAGGGGATACAATCCCAACCTTAGCTGGTACAATGATCATTTTATCATGAGAACAAGCAACACATGAGAATCCTTGAAGAATCTTTTATTTCTTCAACATATAACCACATGAATTCTCAATTCTTTTGCATCACATTTGAACCGAAATGGTCAATTGGTTATGCCAACTGATATTTATTCTAGTAAACTTCTAGTTTACTTTTGCATGTGATTCCATCATCGTGCCTATATTTGTATTACAACAAACAAGAGAAAGACGGGTAACCTTTTATGTAAATATTCATAACCCGCTTTGATTGTAGTAATCTGAAGATATTTAATCTTTCAATAATTTATAGTCGAAATATAATAATTTGTTTTCAATTCCTCTA